GCAGTGCTGAGGGCCCCCGGCAGAGCCTGGACCATCCTCCCCTCTTCTGACTTTCCAGGAGCTCAGATTCTGCTGGCTGAGCCCTGCACTCACAGCCTCTTCAGGGAGCTTATAAATAATGACTTAGAAGAGAAATGATTTAAGATTACAAAACTTTTTCAAGATCAAGTCAAGGTGCCAGCATATTCAAAAGCTGTCAGATATGTCAGGGCAGGTACTTTGTGAGGGATGTGCTTTGTATCTTCGATGTGACAAACATACTGCAGTAAATTCACAGACATGCACTTGCTGCTGCCTTTTGCAAAGCCCTGCCATCAAGCCATCACCTTTAGATCAGTCACACTGAGAGTGAAGAGACACAAAAAGGATCTTTTGCTAGAAATGCTTTTGCTAGTTCACTGGACTCTTTGCAATGGCGGTGATGTGCAGCAGGGCCCACAGATCTGGGGTAGCAGGTGTATTTTATAGCACAGTTGGGTTTGAAACTTTTCATGTTAGCATCTCCCTCTTTTAGAAGTATTTCTGGGACCTCATTTTTATTATGGATCATTTTCTGCCATAGACTGAATAGTCTGTTCTTCAAAGAATCCCATAGATGAGAAACTGAGGAAGAGAGACTAATTGGATTTTCTAGAGACATAGAAGTCAGCAGTAGCGCAAGGACATGAATAGTGCAAGGAGTGTCCTAATCACTGAACTGTCCTCGTCTCCCTGTATAATGCAGAATACATAGAATATCCATCTTTTATTGGATAGCTTTTTGGAATACATATATTTTCAAAAGGCTGATGTTAGATTAATGATGAATCTTACAAAATGAAGTAGGAAAGACATTAATTTTGATGTGGTAGGAAAGCACTTTCCTAATGAGGTAGCAATTAAATAAGTATAGTTATTTTAAAAAAAAAGGTAAATCTAGTGCTCTCTAGACCTCCTATCTCAGCAGTTCTAGCAGCATTTCTGAGTAACAAAAAAGAATGTTTCTGACAAGCATGAAGTACCACCAGAAAAATATAAAAGGAAAAATGTGTCATAAGAATCATAAAAATATTAAATAATGTCAAAGAAATGAAATCAATTTCCGGAAAAGAATAATAAAGGCTGAGAAAAGGTACCCAGAAAGCCACATGACTTTTTATCTTCTTAATTGGGGTAATTATACTAAAACTGACAGCAAGTATTTCCCCAATAGCAAAAAACACCCACAAACCCCAGCCAGTCAGAATACCGCTCTGAGCATAAGATCTGTGAAGGTTAAAGGCTTGAGTCAGCCATTAGGAGGGTGCTCCTCTTCTCCCAAGGTCAGTCCTTACATATGGAGAAGTAATTTTGATTTTGGTCTCTTCACAGTTCAAAGTCAATGCCTACCTTGATTTCAACCGTGCTATATTTGGCAAAGTATTAATATAATTGTATTTGGTCTCAGTCGTGTTCTGTTTGAATGTTAAACTCCTCTTAATACCGAGCCATTTTGTGCTCCATCTTGTAGTTTAGGCAATGTATAAAATAGAGAGCAGTGTGGGCCCTCTGACCAATCTCTCCAGAGAAACCAGTGGTGCCAATGCCCACACTACACATGTTTTGGGGGTTTTAATTCACACCAGCTTCTGTCTGGAAACCTACTGTCATGGACTGAAGTTTTCACAGTGCACAAAGACGTCCTGGAGCACATCTTTGGGTGTAGTTTCATCCAAAAAGGACGCGGTTCATGCTGTCCCAGGCTGCATCATAGCCCGAGCCAAATACAGCACATAGGCACACAGAGATGACCTCTAACAAATCACACTGTGCATCAGCCCACGTATAAACTCTCAACTACTGATGTCTCTTTGCTGATCCTTTATGTTCATCATGTTTCAGCCACCAGCTTCTCTGTCCATATTTCACTGCATCACACTGAGGACCTTCTCCCTCAGTTAAGTGGGGAATTAAGTGTCCCTTAGTGGGACAGAAATGATCTGGCAGTTCAATTAATGTTGGTAGTGTTTAAATTTGAAACCACCCAGTATTTCCTTGCTAATAAACACAACTTGCAAAGAGGAAAAAAGTGATTGTACAACCTCAGAACAGAGATCATGAAGCCTAAGGACCCCCACTTTTCCCATTAGCCAGTAGTGGGTGCCTGAGAAAGACTTTAATAACAAAGCAAGGATGCGGTGGTACTTCCCCAGAATAGGTTTTGAGCTTCCAAAAAATTCACAACTCAAGAATTTCTTAAGCCAGAGTCTTTGTCTTTGTATCTAATAGCCTTTGATATGTTTTCTTTCTTTGTGAATTATTCAGGTACTTTTTAGATTTATGTTAATTTTAGGATCTAGTGTTCTGCAAGAAAGAGTTTGACACTAACTTCATGCTGCAGTTTGTGTTACTTAAGAAAAAAAGACAGGGGTTCAGATGCTGTCTGAACCCCCACGCTGCCTCTGCTCACAGTAATCCTAGAAATAGGATTGCCCAGTGCATGTGGTGCAAGGTCACCATACCAAAGTTGAGTGCCAGCAGCTGCAGTGCATGTGCAAAGCCACCCCAGCTGGGGCTCTGCACCACTCCTGTGAGTTTGTGTTGATTTGAACAGGAAACTCTGCCCAAACCATGGGATGTAGAGAGATATATTATACTTTCTCTGGCTTTTTTCAAGCCAGAAGGGCTAGGGTGTGACCATATTTCTATGGGAACTGGAGTGTTGAATTAAGAATGTTCAACTCTTGTGGGAACCAGCCAGAAAGAACTTTACTCTCCCCTCAAATCCTTGCATTCCAGGCCTAGGGTTTTTATCAGACTATGTTTGTAATCCCAGTTGATTTCTCAAATAAACGGTGAAATGCAAACAGTTGGCCAGAGGGAAAACCTCCATTTACTGAAGGGGAAAAGAACACAATATACAAATGACTCATGGCTCTGTGGGTGAAGTAGTGGCTGCGTGTCATATCTTGGGATGTGGGTTTGTGGTCTGATGCTGCATGGAGTGGATGTGCTTGGGTTGTGACATTATTGTAAATGGCTTTGGTAGGAATTCTCCTGTGACTTCCCAGACACAAGTTGCTTGTTAAGATATGATTGACTGCACAGTTGCAATTAATAAGATAGGGAGGCAGCCAGGTGCAGCCAAACCCTCCTCTGGACACTAGCTGGGGGTAAATATGACAAAACCCTTCTTCTGCTAGAAGAGGTAGGTCCTGCAGGAGTTGCAGGTGGCTGTATCTGAAGGAATTGTGTTCCAGGGAGTTTCCAAGGGTTGGAAGGAAACCTGAAGAGGGGCAGCAGGAATCAGTATCCCTGGGAGGCACCTGGTGCCTCTGAAACTTTGCTCTCCTGGGGCAGGTTATCCCAAGACCCGGTGAATGAGCATGCTCTGATGTTTGATGCAGTACCCCTCTGCCTGGTGCCCCCTGCTCCCACTGACTCTTGTCTGCTGTGGGTTCCCTACGGTTACTGACTCCCTTATTCTTTTTTCCCCCTGAATTCCTTGGTTACAACAAGATAAAACACATAAATGCTAATGCAAGTGTAAGTGCAAAGGCCAGTGGCACCTCTGCGGAGCCCCACTTCTGCCTTACCACTAGTCACTTGCACCTGCTGTGATTCCACCACTTCCTAAGAAGTTGCCAGCAGTTACTCACTGTCCTATATATGAACAACTTGCAGATATGACAAAATACAGGTTGTTTTGCCTGGATTCTTTTTTTTTCCTCTCAGTTTCTCCATTGCAAGACTTCCTCACCTCTCCCAGTCCTTTCCATCCTTTCAGAACTCTGGTTGCTGCTCCATGACTGTGCAGCACCGGAGCTTGGAGGAACTGCAGGTCAGGGCTCCCCTCTGGTGATATGAGCTGGAGAGGACATGTGCCAACAGAGGTGGTGGCCTGTTCTCAGGGCACCATCACCACTCAGTATATACACTGCACGGGATCTAGTGGTTTTGCTCTGTGAGTTAGTGGAGGGAGGAATGAGGGTCCACTAAAGGATCAAACCAAATCCCTCCTTATAGGCAGGAACTCTAGGAGAGCATTCTTTTCCTACATCGGACCAGTGCTTTCTACAGCAGAAACATGATGAGAGATGGTTTATAGCTTGGGAGACAACAGCAGGACATTGCCTGAACCCAGATGTTGGCAGATCAGTAGGCGTTGGGAAATCAGCCAACCTTTCTCAGTTTTCTGGGACACTCTGGTTTGCCCATGTGATTAAAATTTGCAGTAGATAAACACAGATACATAGAATTTATCCAAACAACCAGATGTTTACCCATGGCTGGAAGACCAAGGAAGCTTCTTTGTTTGTGGTTGCAGCTGTGCTGGGAGTAAGGTTTCATCCCACATTTGAGGAATCTTCTTTTTTTAAGCAGTTCAGAGACTAGGGCTGCTGCTTGGGAAATGGCTGTTTTCTCCCTGCAGGCAGATCGATACATTTCAGCTCACTGCACTGCAAGTAACTTTTCATCGTACATTAAGAATGAGGAAAATAAAAGCCAAGATGGATGTTATTTTGGTTTTGCTTTTATTTTGAATTATTTATTAGGAAGTCACTGCTGCCTTCTCATCAGGAGACAAAATGCCTTTGTCTTTGGTGATTTCCTATTGAAAAGACACAAGGTCTTTCCAGTTTTATTTCTCTCACTTGCTTCTTGGTACTGAAGTGTAAATCTGGGGTCTCCACAATGTGACAAGATGGTCTCCTGCAGTCTCAGTGTAGGCAAAGCCCCCACTGATGCCAGTGGAGTCACACCTTGTCAGTACACTTCTAACCAGTTCTACAATGACATTGCAGATGAGTTATGTGTGTTAGGAATGATTGCTGTCACATAAGCAGAGGGTGTTGTGGAGGGTTATAAGTACACTACAGGCTAGCTGAACTATGATTTTAATTAAGCACTTACTAAATAGCTAGTAAAACTATGAACCCCATGTGTCACTGGGCAAAAATTCGGCAACTGGCTCCACTACTCATATGAGTTTGGAAACTCAAACTAACAACCCATTTTGATGTTTTTGTTCCTAAATCTAGGTTATCCTGAAGGGGACGATAAAGAAACTGGCCACCAAGATGGTAATCACTAGTGGAAATGAAGAAGATAAAGGCAGTCAAGAAAAGGAAAGCAAAGAAGAAACCATCTTGGCAATGCTTGGAATTATTGGGACAATTCTGAACCTCATTGTGATCATTTTTGTGTATATTTACACAACGTTGTAAACTAGAAGGCATGCAAATAGACCAGATAAAATGGCCATTAAGAATGACAACAAACATTGCTGACTATTGAGAAGTTCTTTAATCAGAATTGACTCTGTATTATATTAACACATCATAAAAGCACTGCCTGCAGGCAGCGAAGACTGAAGCACAATTAATTTAACAAGACTTTTTCACACAGTAATAAGCTTAACTCTTCTATCCTGCCCTCTCCCTTTCGGTTTGGTTTTCAGTTTGGGGGAGAATGACTGCAGTTATGTAAGCTGTAGCTTTGAAGAAATCCACCAGGGATATGTTGTTTTAACACAATTTAAAAAAAAAAAAAAAAGAAAAGAAAAAATAGAAAGAAAAAAAAGAAAATAAAGAAACTGTACACTATATATAATTAGAAATGTTTGCTGTATACCCGCAAAGACTGAACTCAGAGATAGCTTCATAGCACAGATCACATGTCTGTTAGGTCAAATGGTTTTTTTCTCTTGGTTTTTGCTTTTACTTACATTGAATCTGACAAGCCTTTTATTTAGAATGAACATATGGTGCAATCATGAAAAAAACAATTCCATTGAGCAAGGTCTGCCTAAACCTGATAAAATGTTGGGAGAAATACATTACATGGTTATTTTTCCTTTCTCTTTTGCTTAACATCTGTGTCTGTTCATACCAATGTTTATAAATATATATTTTTAATAAATGTGCTATATTTTTAGCATGAACCAAACATTTGGAGACACTTGTATTCATGCAGCTAAATTTTGTTTGATGAAGTGCCCCTTTTGACAATGGATGTTGTTTTTCTCAGCAATTATACAGCAGTCTTGTTTGCAGCCCTCTCACTTGGTCTGAAGCAAGCTCACATCATGCTCATATGCATGACTTGAAGTTGGAATGTCAGCTGAAAAGCATTGCTGCTTAATACGGGAAATAGCAAAACATTGTAAGGTGACCTTTGGAGACTGGTTGCAGAAAGAAGGCTCTACTTAAAAAAACAAAAAGCAAATGAAAGGAATATTGAGGAGTCTCAGAAAATATTACGAAATTCATAGAATTTATGGCTTTCAAAATCTGGTCATGTTCTCTAAGTACTTATGCTGAGAGAAGCCAGTAGAGGTTTCTACAGTTGAAAAGAGAAATTTAGAGAGCCTATAGTAAGGGGTTTAAGGGAAATCCAGACTGTAAATACAGAGTTGTATTTTAAATGTGAGGATCATTAACTCTTCTCGCTTTTCTGACATGTGCTTTAACTGAGGTTGGTGCAGTGAAATTCTCTGACTTGTGTTTTTGACAGGAATGTGCAATGATGATGCTCAACATTTTTCTTCAGAGTTCAGTACTTATAAATATACAAAGCATTAAAATTATGAGACCTCAATTCTGCCTCAAGCTGCCTAAGTACATTGCCCATTAACTCTGACATATCTTCTTAAAAAATAGGTCAATTAATTGTTTACTGACTTGTGGTTTGGATTGCATCCTCAGATGCATAAGGAGGATTACTGTTGAAGTCAGCTGGAGCTGTAAAATGTTTGATCCTAAAGTATCATTGATTTTAGTGATCAGTCATGTCCCTCAGGAATCAGTAATAAGTTTTCCACCAGTTTCAAGGGGCTAGGAATGGTCTCAAAAATACAGAATTTCATTGCAGGATATAAAAGCAAGCTTGGAAAACCCTGAGGGGCACCTCTTATAAACAGAGGTGTTCAGTCTGTTGTGGCATCATACATTCAATAACAAAGCCATTAGGAGAAGGGAAAAGGTCAGTAAATCCAGTATGAAGACTGAAGGGAAAAAAGAGCAAAAATAATCTCATGTTAATGAAAGCATGACATGATGAGAGAGGGGAAAAAATGAGCAGAGATTGAAAACAGGGAATGGTGCAGAAAGACAGTGGCATGCATACCAGTGTGGCTGAGGAAACATTTGTGTTTCTACAGTGCTGGTAGAGCTGCAGATCTCAGAGAGGGCAAGAAACGGTAGTGGCACCATTTAGTGTAGCTGAGTGAGGGTTTGAACTGATCTTGGTCTTGAACTTATAGTTATTTATTGATAATTCTAAGGAAATAGCTCACTCTGATCATCCTGATAGCTAAAATATATTTTCCTCCACTTGGCATTTTTTCTTCTGTTTAAACCACTGCTGTGCACAGCCTGTGGCAATGGTGTTGGCACTCATGTCCCAGAGCACACCTGCACATGCTCCAGGCACTTGTCTATCTCCAGCCTGCCTCTTGCCTGGCAGGATCCTCTCTGCAGACATTCCTCTTGAACCTCTCCTCCTCCTCCAGCAAACACTGCAACAATCTGCCTGAGGCTCGTACTCATCTTCTAGAGGGGAAGCCTGGAAAGGGCAGTGTCTGAGTCAAGAGATGAGCTCTCATGCCAGAAATTTCTTTGCCTCCCTCTGCATCAAATGATGACCTGTCATCCTCTTGTGGGCTTGAAGATGCTTAATGAATCAAATTTCATTAAGAGCTTCTATTAATATTACAAATTAAAGCTCTGCATTGTAAAACAATACAGAACACCTCACCCACCAAAGTAAAGTAGGAAGTTTTGCTGCTCATAACAGTTGCACTCATTCAGACATGGGCTAGAACCTTCACCAAGACTCGCACTGCAACGAGCCCAAATAAACTGAACTGGAGGATAAAAAGCCTAAGGACTTCATGTTTACTCTGTTTTATTTTGCATACTAGTCTTCATGCAGGTAGCACGGTCACACTTCACCAGCAGCAGTCACATGCTGTGTGCTTTACCATATGACTTTTATTCCTCTGAAAGAGGAAGGAAGGTTTATCCCATTCTACAAAAAGTTTAACACTTAATATTTTAATTTTACAGGTTTCTGTTCACAGATAGTTCTAGAAATATCCTGGGGCAAGTTCTTAAGTAGATTCATTAAGTATTCAGTTAAATAAAAATGAAGAGTTTCCTTCGAGGGCAATTTCTTTACCTTTTATTTGGTATTCATGAACACTGATATGGGAAAAGTATGTTTTCAAGAATGACTGTGGAAGAGGAATATTTTATACAAAGATCTGAAGGTGTGCCTACCCAGGCAGCTGTGGGCAAGCCTGTTCTTGGCTGAGTGCCAGCTGAAGCCAAATTACCCTCATGCTTTTTTTATGTGAGCAGTTTTCAGCATGCACCTATAAGAAATATTCAACAAGGTAACATATATATCATGGATACATTATAGTCGGTAACTGCTGTATAAACAGATGAATAAAACTTGTCATTACAGGTGCTGAATGGTAAATCTGCTTTGGCAAGGAAAAATCCGGTAGTTTCATTTTTGGCTTGATTTGTAGGTAATGCAAATAGTTTCCAAAAAAAAAATTTTTAATATAAAATATTAGTCCATTAGTGGTGACAGGAACGTCCATGTTTGCATTTGAGTAGAAGGAAATTAATATCCAATATCTTAATAAGATATTAAAGCATCATCTTTTGCTTCAGTCAACTAAGAATGTGATTGTATTTTTAAATTATCCTATTTAGTTTTTGATGGTTTGTATTATGGGAATGAAAAATATTTTCCTGAGGTGACAGGAAGGTGACATTCTCCTTGCTAGTGTCTGGTGTGTTGGCTGGTGGGTACAGAAGACTTTTAAGAAGGAAGAAGATAAAAATATTTAAATCATGTTATGCATGCAATGAAGTGAGGAGAAAGCAGACATACAGGCTTCTGCCATCTTCTCTGATTCCTACAACTGCCACTGAAAACAACATCTCAGGAACCACATCTTCATGCAGGAATGTACCATCCCGTGTGCTGGCTGTCAGGGCAGTCCTTTCAGTCATTTACCTTCTGCTCCTTCCACCTGCACCTCTGTAGCAGTGCACAGCTCATTGTGCCTTAGGAGAGTTTTAACATGTACCCAACCTGGCAGCCTCTGGAAGCAGCTGTTTGGGTTTATTGTGGGGTAAGGGTCTACTATGGGGCTGAGTTTTATTATTTTAAGGACAGCCAGTAATCACCATCTTGTTACTGTCTGATAATCTAGGAGATACTTTGCTTGTTGAATTCCCAGACCCATCCCTCCCCTGTCTCACAGGTAAAATTTTGATTCAACAGGCATCCAAATACAAAAGAAAGCTTCAGTAACATGATGACGAAACTTTGGTATGAAGCTTTTTTTAAATCCATGTTTCCTGTATTTTCATATATTATATTAATCTGTATCCTGGAGCTCACTCCAAATGCCCCGAGGTATCATCTGTGTCAGAAGGTCTCATTGCTTCTGAGTCAGAGTTAACATTTCAGTGTGAATTATGGCATACACAGAGCCCAGAGTGGGCAACAGGGACAAAAATTAACTGAATTAAAACTCCAGGGAGGTAACACTGCAGAAATTACTAATTAGTTTGAGTCTTGGCTGGAGTACTTTGTTTCTATATAGCCAAGATTTTGGAGAAAAAATGTTATTGTTCCTTGGAAATTTTCTGGAATATGTCATTCAGAGAAAGAACCTCATTGAAAATGTTTTAGCAGCAATTTCCAGCAGCAATCTTCCAAGAAAAACACTGACCAGGCCTCTGAGTGTCTGGCTTCCTTCCCAAGAGTAGTGTTTGGCAACTCTGCAACACTGCACATATATGTAAGCACCTCTTGTTTACAGAGAGGCTTTGTCTTGTTTGGAACAGAATGCATGGGTTTACAAAGACTTACGAATTTATGGAATAGTACTTTACACAATCAACAACAACAAAAGGTGCTGTTCACTTTTATTTCCAGCAGATATGCCAGATATGCTGCAGACACCCTGCAGAACCTGTACTGATTCCATGCCTGGCTGTGTGTTTTGGAGGCTCCTCCCAGAGGGTCTTATAGACTCAGCGAAGGTTTTCTTCCCCACCATTGATCCAAGAGAAACAAAACCTGTTCAGCATGGAACCCTCCCCGCCAGGCTGAAATCCCACATGCATCCATATGCCTTTACCTACATATGAACCATCTGGTATCCAATAAGACTTTCCTTGCCTTAAGCATTAGGTTTGCTTACTTGCATTTCACCTGGGGACTCAGATGCTGAAGGCAATTTGTAGGGCTGAAAACCCTGTTTCAAATGAAACAACTTTACATAATGTAGCCATTTCCTGGAGAGGTGCCTGTTCCTCCTGAAACACGCCTGTGCAGTGCCCTGGGCATGGCACACAGCACACCACCCTCCATGTGTGGTCTCACACTGACAGAGCATCATGGTAGTGAGGGAGTCGCTCTGGGCTGCAGCTGACCCATACAGCAGGATTTTGTACAAAAGCCTGGATCCCAAGTCAAACTACGTAGAGTGAAAGGAAAAGGACATCCTGCCTGGTTCATAGGAGGTGCTTAGCTATGCTCACCAGGATCCTTTCTTCTGCAACCAGTCCAAATTCAGGTGAAGGTGATCCTTGCACCACTCTGACCCGCTTGTGGCAGTTGCAGACCTTCCTTCCACCTGAGTGAAGTAAACAGCTTTGGGCTTCCCTAGTCTCCTAGAATAAGGGACAAAGTCCTTCTCACGCAGCAGAAATAGCAGCAGGAGCATCCATTTCCTGATGACAATGACAACATCACCTGCCTGGAGCACTGATGGGAACCTTTTTTCTTCCCATCATCCCTCATAGTCTGGGAAATGCAAGTTAGTTACCTGGACTCCAGCTTCTCCACAGGCTCAGTCACTGTTCAGGAAGACATGTTTTGTGATGCTGAGACTTTGCTATGCTCACATGGCTCCT